GGGATGGTCGGAATTACAATCTGGATTTCTATATACAGAGCTTCCGCAACAACGCATAGACTGACATTATTCACAAACGACAACAAGCGACACATAATCTCAGCTACGCTGAAAACTATGCTATCCAGGGTCTCAAAAACAACCCGGACATTATAATCAAACCAGCTGACAAAGGGGGTGCTGTGGTCATTCTGAATAAGGCTGACTATAGCCAGGAGGCAATCAGACAACTCTCCAACACCACATTTTACAAACCTCTCCTCTGATCCCACCTCAGAATACCAAAAGAAACTACACTGTCTCCTTAAACACCTCCCTACATCTACTTGGGATCAAATCTACACAGAAACACCTTCTGAACCCCAACCAGGATTGTTCTATCTGCTTCCCAAAATCCATAAACCTGGACATCCCAGACGTCCCAACATCTCAGGTATCAGCACGCTCAATACTGGTTTATCCAGCTATGTAGACTCTCTTCTCAAACTCTATGCTATCAACATTCCCAGCTATCTCCGAGATACTACTGACTTCCTAAGGAAACTACAAAACATTGATAACCTCCCCGATAACACCATCCTTGCTACCATGGGTGTAGAAACTCTATACACCAACATCCCACATGAAGACGGATTACAAGCAATTAGAAACACTTTCCCACAGGACACCACTGCCAATCTGACAGCAGACCTATGTAACTTTGTTCTCTCCCACAATTATTTCCAGTTTGAGGACAACTTATACCTCCAGATCAGCGGCACAGCCATGGGTACACGCATGGCCCCACGGTATGCTAACATCTTTATGGCTGACTTAGAACGTTTCCTCAGATCCCATCCCCTCTTACCCCTTCTCTACTTACGCTACATAGACGACATCTTTATGATCTGGACCCATGGCCAAGAAACACTGGAGACATTCCACAGAGATTTTAACAACCTATACCCCATCATCAATCTCAGCCTGGACCATTCTACACGAGAGATCCATTTCCTGAATACCACAGTACAAATCACCAATGGTAAATTAGACACCACTCTCTACAGAAAACCCACCGACTCACACAGTTACTTTCATGCCTCCATACGATCCATCATCTATAGCCAAGCCCTTCAATACAATCGCATCTGCTCTAATCCCACTGACAGAGACCAGAAACTTCAGGATCTCTACCAAGCATTTATAAACCTCAACTACCCACCCGGAGAAATAAAAAAGCAAATTGAAAGAGACAGACGAATACCCAGAAGGCATCTACTTCAAGACAAACCCAAGAAAACCAGCAATGGAACACCACTTGTCATCACCTACAGCCCCCAGCTTAAACCCGTCCAACACTTTATCAATAAACTACAACCTATACTCGAACAGGATACTAAACTCCAAGAGGCTCTGGGAGACAGACTCATAGTCTCCTACAGACAACTACCTAACCTCAAGATGATTCTTACCAACAACCACAGGACATACCCCACTAACAACAACCCTGGAACTTTCCCTTGCAACAAGCCCCGTTGCCAGCTTTGTCCACATATTCACTCTGCTGATACTATTATTGGATCTAACCAATTGAGTTATAAGATCAAGAACACATATTCCTGCTCATCCAGAAATATAATTTATGCTATCATGTGTCAATAATGTCCATCTGCTATGTACATTGGACAAATGTCTCAGACACTTCGCCAAAGAATTAATGCGCACAAAATAGATATTAGACAGGATCACAAAGAACAAACAGTTTCTTGCCATTTCAACCAGAAAGGGCATTGTCTCAATGACCTGATTACCTGCATTCTGATTCAAAGACCTTCTAACACCAGACTTGAAAAAAAATCCTCTGAACTGTCATTCATGCTTAAATTTGACACTTTACACATAGGTCTTAACAAGGACGCTAATTACCTTACCCATTATAAAGATAGCTTCCCCAGTTATCACCTCTAATATCATTAGCTCACAGACATTTACCTCCCTCCCTCCCTAATCCCCCTTCTATTCTCAAATTTGATTTGTCCTTTTCATGTGTGTTCATTTTTTTGACTGTATCCTTTGGTATATATGGTCATGCCAATTTTCTTGCACAATTTGATCTGGGGAAGTGGGTCTGGCCCACAGAAGCTCATCACCTAATAAACCATCTTGTTAGTCTTTAAAGTGCTACATAGTCCCGTTTTTTGTTTCAGCTAGACCAGACTAACACAGCTACATACCTATTACTACAGGAGGTCAGATTGCCTAGCAGCATTACCAACACTTCCACTGGAAAGTTAGTAATATAAGGGTATATCTAGACTACATGGCTCCTTCAACAGAGCCATGTAGATTTGTTTGTTTGGCATCTTTGTTTAAATTTAATTGGCTGCCCCGCTCTGCCGATCAGCTGTTTGTTGGCAGATCAGGGCAGTCTGGACGCATCCCTGCCGACATGAAAGCCCTTTATTGACCTCCCCAGTAAACCTCATCCTGCGAGGCATAACGGGGAGGTCGATAAAGGACTTTCAGGTCGGTGCGGGAGCATCCAGACTAGCACACTGAGCCGACAAACAGCTGATCAGCTGTTTGTCGTCTCAGCGCGGTAGCCATTTAAATTTAAATGAAGCCATGATTATTTAAATCGCGGCTTCATTTCCCTTCGCCAATCAGCCTAATCTACATGGCTCTATCGATGGAGCCATGTAGTTTAGACACACACTAAGACTCAAAACTTAAATTAATAATTGAACTTACTGGGCTTGTAGAAAACATTTAGAGGTAAATTAAAGCTAAAAAACAGTACAGAACACTGAGATACAGGACTGGTGGCTATAAGCAAACTTCATGCAACTACTGGAAACTTGGCCATACCAATGATAAGTGGGTACCCAGATAACTAAAATCATGCTGGACCACAGATGTTGCCAGACCAGAGAATGTTGGACTAGAGAGGTTCAACCTGTAATTGGTTTGCCCTTATAAGAGAGGGAGGAGGATCACTGGGGGTGCCAGAGAGGGCAAAGAAACAGGCAAGCCCAGGGAGGACAAAAGACTATTGTTTTACTCCCTGCATCAACAGGGTAAATTGACTACTTAGAGACTGGGAAAGACTAGGAAACTTACTGCTTTGTTGATGCCTAATAATAAACTTCTGAACTTTGTCAGTTTTTTAATGTAATAAATGATTCACCTGCTCATAAATGTTGTTGGAGAATTGTTGCACATGTCCATTACACTGTAGGTATGTGTGCATCCCACACACTGGCTGTAGAGAGTTTTCCCCCAGTGGTGCCACAAGGCAGCCCTGTCCATCTCCAAATCCCTTGTGCTTCAAAGTGAGGACACATGAGTGAAGCTACCCTGCTTAGAGCTGCCAACAGAATTGCCAAGGCCTTTGGCAAAGTTGAGTGGGGGGCTCCTCTCTCGGCCCACAGAAGTAGTAGGGCATTCAGCAGAAGGGCCAGGGCTAGCTTCCCCCAGTTAGTCCTTAATCACTGCCTGGACTGTGATGAAGAAACTATATCAGCAGCGCAGGTCTCCCTCTCTAGCTGCTACGCCACACTGCAAATCACTACTATGGACATTTAAAAGTGGCATCCCAGCTGCCACTACTATAGCAGTGGAAGTGACCTCAGAATTCTCTGGCCCTTTTAAGTGACCTGGGCAAGTGCCCTCCCCCACCATTGGCAGCCCTGCTCCTGCGCATACTCCAGTTCCTTCATGCCAGAAGCTGACAGTGGACTCTGATGAACCAGGAAAGATCCAGGTAAGGGCTCATCTAGACTACATCCCTCATTTTTTCAAAAAGGTTTTTTTTTGAAAGAACCGCATCTAGACTGCGGTTTCACTTTCGAAATACCCTTTTTTGAAAACGGCAATTGGACACAAATATGCAAATGAAGCATAAGATATTTAAATCCGTGCTTCATTTGCAATTTCGATCGGGCTCATTTACATCCCTCTTTTGTAGTCTAAATGTGCCCTAATTGACACGTCTGACATATCTCAAAGAACATGCTACACACAGGTTCTTTGAGCACTTGTGTATGTCCATTATGCCATAAGCAGCAAGCAGCTATGCCAGGTGGAGAGTCTTGTAGTTTCATCAGAAGGACTGTAAGGCTACTTTCCTTTCATTTGAATTTTCCCTTGTGGCAGCAGAGAACACAACCTAAGCTTTACAAATGTAAGATCAGGTCATCACTCAGCAGATGTCGATAAATGGGGTTTGTGCCACAAATGCTGCTGAGGCTGAATGTGGTCGAGCATGCTGTTTGTCAGTAGGAGTTACCCCTTTTGCAGCATATTGCAGTGTGATGCCACTGATATTGCATTTCTAGAGTCCAGGGGTTATGGTTGGATGACCTCTCCCAAACTCTGTTTAAGAAACATCTGGGAAGAAATTTTCCAGGGGCTTTGTTTTATCCAGGTAAAAAGCCAGAGTTCATCTTTGTGATTATGCAGTGTTGGGAAGAAAATTGGCAGCTTGATGCAGGTGGAAATCAAATACTGCTTTTGAGAAAAAACTTAGTGGATGGCATAAAAAAAACTTTGTATGCGGATCAGTGACCAAAGCATTCAGTTCTCTCCCTCGTCTAGAGGATACAATGGCAACACATGCTGCCCTGTGTGGGAGCAAGAATGACAAGAAAGACTTGAAAGCAAAATCTTTCCAAGTAGACAACACTAAAATCAGATCACAAGGACCTTCCCTGATTGGTAGAAGAGGAAAGGAGAAGATAAGTCCTCTACACTTATTGTCTTGGCTTGCCCACCAAGGATGCAAAGCGACTTGTCTAAATGGTAAATCTGAGGACAGTAGATCAACTTGAGCATACTTGTAATGCTCTGAAATTCAGTCTGGTGTGCATGGTTCATATGTGGCTGCATGTGCATATTACGTAAGAGCCTGTCATAATTCCTCACAGTAATCTGAGTATGGTCAAATCCAGGACTGCCCGCAATTAATTCTATCCTTTGCAGCGGGAATAATGTTAATTTTTCTTTGTTCAACTTCTTCTCAGGTTGTGGAACAGATACAGTTTGATGGGCAGCAGCTTGTTCTTAGGATCTGGAATAACCATGAACCAATCATCCAGGTGAGGATACAAGTGGACTTCTCCTTTTCTGGAGGTAATTTGCCATGATGACCATGTACTTGGACTGTCATCAGCACTGAAGGTCTTTACCAAATGGTAGACTGGAAAATTGTTAATAGTAATCTCCTACAGTGAACAATTACCACTTGGAAGTAGGCATCCTGTAAGTTGAGAGCACAATCCAGGGAGAGAATGATCTTCACTAGAAACACCATACGGAATCTTATCTTGACATAACTGTTCAGGTTTCAGAGGTCTAAGGTAGGTCTAAGACTCTTGGTTTCAGGTATTAGAAAAGTATTGGGAATCAAATTCCCTGCCCCAAGGTAGTAGGGGCACCTCACCTAGGACTCCCCAAAAATGTGGGGTATGCGTTTATTCTCTCAGTACAGACTTGTGGGAAGAAGTTCTAAAGAAGGACTAAATATGGGGTTAGAGAGATACACCATATTTCCTTTCTACCCTAATTCTGCTATGCTTATCTCCCAGTTGCCTGAGGTGATGGGCTGAAAAGGTGGGAAGAGACCAGTGATACCTAGGGTCAGTAGTACGTTGTTCTTACTAGAAGACTCAGTTGGCTGAGCTGAGGGCAAGATGTTGAAGGCAAGTTGAAGAGCCCAAGAAAGTAGAAGGCATTGGTGACATCCTTTGCAACTTTTGTTTTCCTTAGATTGGTCAGCCTGATGAAAGGAGAAATATTGCTGTGTAAGGATGCTAAAAAGAGCAACATTTTGAGCTCCTAGTCACTACAAAGTATAGCAGTGTTTCTCAACCAGTGGTATAAGTATCCTTTGGGGTACTCGAAAGAAGTCTGGGGGTTACGTCAACACAACTGAAATTTGGAGAAAACTGAATTTTTGTTTTACACTTTACAGCGTTCTATTAATTTTGAACTTTTTCAGCCAAAAATTTCATTGCCCGCCTGGCTATGATTAAGGTGTTTAAACAAAGGTGTTGCAATGGTAGAAAAAATGTTGTGTCTAAAAACTGTATGTATTGGGGGTACTTTTTTATTTGGTTGGGATTTTTGGAAAAAAGAGTACTTTATAAAAAGAGGTTTATTGAGAAACAATGGCGTAGGGGACTAGATTTCTAAATGGCCCTTAAGTCCTGTTTTATCCAGCCATGTGATCATCACTGATTACAACAGAATGCTGGCAGGCAGCTCACACACAAGGCTTACTAAGTGACTTCACATCTGATTGGGGAATGAGCTTACATTCACTAGCATCCAAAGATACTTTGCTGTTTGCAATAGATGGGGAAGATGTCTGTGTGAAACCCTGAAGTCTATTCACTGCTGAGGCCCAATTTCTCCCCGGATGCCAGGCCTAGGTGACCAGAATGCAGAATTGTTTTCCTGTAAGCACAGGCCTTAGAGCTAATCAACACCAAGATCTCCATGACAGTGCGTGTGACATGCGTATAGATATGGGTCAAGTACAGAGAAAGACTTTGTATCTGTATTCAACTCAACTGATGTGGCTCTCCTAGTTATTTAACAGAAACTGCGGTGAAATGTGGTCATGCCACACTTTAATTCATGTAAGGATCCACCAGGTTTGACAGAGTTCCTTATTGCTTCATATAGATCTTTTCACAGTCCCATGTTCTGACTCACATTACATCTACCTACAAGCCAAGAATGTGATTTCTCTGCTCAGGTACACACTCGCTCTTATCAAACTAGCATGAATATAAATAGCAATGTAGGTAGAGTGGAAAGGTTAGTAGCTGCATGGCTGAGCCATGTTGTGTATAAACCTGCTTGAAACAGGAGAGTATGTGACTCAGCACAGCTCTGCCTCCGTTGCCATAATTCATGCTACTGCAGCTACACTGCTGTTTGTACTTGTGTTTGGTCCGCGAGAGCTAGGTGAGTATAAGTACACAAGCAAGGGAATCACACACTTAGCTTGTAATGTGGACTTAACCTAAAATACTTGCACTTTTTTTTCACATTATGTTGTTGCAATTGAGAGAACTGTGTCAGAAGATATCTTGACACTTTTATAACTCTATTTGGGGACAAATTCATCCCTGATTCAATTAATTCAAAGTTAATAGAGTTACATCAAAAAAGAATCCAATACTTTCAATACTTTCTCTTTTCATTGTATCTTGAATTACCTAGAAAGAATATGCACATGAGGGTCTCCTCCTAATAAATCCACAGTGTTAGATCATCTAATCTGCCCTTAGTTTTATTTTGCCTATATTAAACATAAAATGTGTCCAAAAAAATAAGTCCAGGAATTTTTTTTTATAAAACTTATTTACAAAAGCATCCTGTATTGTCAGAGGAAACTTTCTCTATTCCTCTAGAAACTATGGGTAAGTATTTGTTTCTTACTTTTTGTGAAACTATGCTTTTAAATGATTTCATGCTGTTTAGAAGTTAGTTTGTATATTCATTTCTCCTCATTCATAATACTCATGCCCAAATGTTTAACTCTATTCATATGACACTTAGATGAAATAAAACATATTCCTAGGCATGGAACGAATTATAAACCTATTGGAATATAGGAACCTCAGACTGGATGAT